CTCCAATATGGGAGACTCAGGTAAGTGGCGTCGCCCCCCCCCCCCCTAAACCCGCCACCGACTGCAGGAGCCCCCACGTTTCCTCTGTTCCGCCTCCCCTCCTCCCTGTCTCTGCTCATTGTTCGCTCCTATTCCGCTGCTTCTCCCCTCCTCCCCGGCCCCTCCTGCCCCTCTCCTCAAAGCTCCTCTGCGCCTCTGCCTCTCCTCCTCCCCTCATCCTCCTCGCCCCCTGCATCTTTTCTTCACCTGCGCCCCACCTCCTCCGCTCATCCTCCGCTCTCGGCATCCTCCTCTGATCATTTCCATATCTGATCCGTTGTCCATCGGGACCCATTTAAAAAAAAACACAAAGCATGCCCACAGAGAGAGAGAGAGAGAGAGAGAGAGAGAGAGAGAGAGAGAGAGAGAGAGAGAGAGAGAGAGAGAGAGACTACCCCGATGGCGGGCCTCCACTTCCCCGCAACATTCCCCCACCCCATTTTTTTTTCTCTTCTCCATTTTTTTGCGAGTGAAGCCGCAACAGGTACACTTGTTCGCTGTGATTTTCCTTTTCAAGGCGCTGACGGTCCTAGTGAGGTTAGTCCCTCCATGACAAGGGGAAATCAGTTTGCAGATTTGAGCTTTGGTGTAGGCATGGTCGAAAGAAAGATTTCCCCTTAGAGTGGATTGGATTATTAGCTCATGGAATCGTCATTTGCCGTAAAGTGCATTCAAGTACCCTGGGGTTTTGGATGCACAAGGCCTCGGCCTGAAGCAGTCAGAACAGCCCACAACTGCCATCAGAATCAGTGGGGAGATGTGGATGCCTTTTAGACCCTCTTCCAGCAGAAGGTTCTCAATGTCTCTGGATATGTTTTCTCTTTCACCCGGAGATGAAAGTGGAAGAGTTGAGGAAAGACAGAAATTTGAAGTGCGTGGGATCTCACTTGTGTTGAGTTCTGTAATGACAACATTTCCAGATCTATCACTTCTCAGGTCTAAAAAGATTTGGAAAATGAAGTGATTGTTTTTTTTTGCCAGGGGTGGCTCTCCATGGAAACGTGAGTTTTATGGTTGTGTGGAGGAGGAGATTGTCTCTATACGCAGAGAAGTAATGAAGAATGTTTGGATTCATCCCACCATCCCTTGGGTGGGTGTCAGATAGCTTTCTTGTCTCTTTGCCGAGGTCAGGATGGTGGTCGCTATTTATCTTCCGCTCTCCCCCTTTCATATCTTCTCTGTCTAATTTCTCCCCTTGATTTGTTTTGATGTGATTTGATTGATCTGCCCTGAATTTGATCTGATCCGTTTTGGGGCTTTCAGCTGCATGAGGATTTTTCCCTTCGGCTTCCACTCCAACATGTGGTATGTGGGTGGTGGATTGCTGATTCGCGTGGGTTCTGTGGGTGGTGGATCGCTGATGTGCTTGTGGTTCTTCCATGTGGCAGGGGCGGGGAGGAACATTACTCTTAGTGTGTTAGGGGCTGTGGCTAGGCGGTGTGCCCATCCGCTGGGCTAGATGGGCAGTTAATCCCCTTGCATGAGGGCAATCAATGCGGCTTATCATTTTGACAATTGCTCATCTTGTGCTCCTGTTGTATAATTTGGATGGTGGACCCAGTTTCCAGCCGGTACAGCTCCCCACCAATAGATTGGAGCCATCTTCTGCCGGGGTCCTATTTGTGGAGGATGTTCTTCTCACCCCCGCTAATAGGACTGTCACAGACGATTTGTTTAAGGGGAAAAAAAAACAAATTGGTATAGATAGGTACATGAGGGTTGTGATGAGGGAACACGGGTACAAACAAAGACACAATCATGAATCGATTTATCGAGGAACGATATGGAAATGCGAGTGTATGGTTGTGTGCAGAAGGTGGTTGCTATTCCCAAGCAAACGAGTGGCAATGGACTTCCGTCACAATAGTTGTGTAAGGGTGTTGATAAGGCAGCAAACAAAGAAATAATTAAGAATGGAACTGTGGAGGATGGGTTATGTCACTAAAGGTACGTCAAGGTTTTGATTAGGTAGCAAAGAAAGCAATAACTAAGAATGGAATGTCAGCATACAATGTATAGGTACGTCAGGCTTTTGATGAGGGAACAATCTGTTTTGTGGCAGGTAGGCTGCTAGTGACGGTCTGCTCATTGTCCTTCAACGAATGACGGCTACCATCAATTGCTTATGGAATCCAAGAATTGAAGTTCTGACACAGCCTGCTTTGCATACAGGTCAGTGGCTACAATCCCTTGTGGGAGTCTGTCCCGAGAGGAACATATCAGTGGATTGGCTTACAGTTGAAGAGCAGGTAAGACAAGTCTCTGATTGTTGGCTGTATATGCTTATTGCACTGGTACGACTGCATGATTGTTCCATGACAAGTATTTTATTCTTTTTTGAAGTTTTTTCTCAAACTCTCAGGCATGAGTCCTCGAGGTTGAGTTTATGTTTGAACAGGAGATATCAAGGCTGCGATTTGGTGTTGTTGTTGTTGTTGTTGTTTTTTTTTTTTTTGTTTTGTTTTGTTTTTTGCTCTTTGTATTTCTGAAGAACTGCTTTTTCCATTGTAGCAATAGGGCTTTCATACGGCTATAGTTCATTCGTCTCCTAAGTTGGCAAACCTACTAGTGCTGAAAAACCTCTGGCCATGTCTTTTTCTTAACAACGCTCCTGTGTGCTATCAAGAAAAGGCCAAGCTCAGTTGGTAAGGCATTTAAGTGGCATTCAGGAGGTCTTGGGTTCAATCCCCATTGGCCTCATGTACCTTCCTGGGCAAGCTTGGCGCCCACCACCTAGAGATATCCCGTTGGTCCCCCCGAGTGGCATTGAGTAGAGACTGCTGATGCTCATAGGGGGAGGGGAGCAGAGGGGAGAGACAGTGACCGGCCCATCGAAGAAGCTCGGTCCTGATGCTACTGTCTGACCACTGGCCGGTATCGCCTCGTTGGAGGATTGAGCACGGATGTGGCTGCTACGGGGGTCTCCGTAATACTAAAATGACAATAAAAAAGGCCTGAAAGGCCGACATGTCCAGATTCAACAGGTGATTGAATTGGTTGGGCTTGAAAGAATTAATCTTCTAAAAAAAAAAAAAAACTCTCAGGCACGAATCCAGAGTCTAGGGCATTGTTTCAAGGGGGTTAAAAAAAAAAAAAAAAAAAGGCTGTGAGCAATGTGAGGTACTGCTGGTTCAATCGATTGTCAGATACCTTTGTAGCCTGCCAAACCAGCCGTTTTGCCCCACGGTTCTTTGTTTGCCTGAAAACATTACTGGTTACTGAAGTTTACTGCAGCAGGAGAATCCGCCAACAGGGTTGATGGTTTTTCTTGCACAGCTCTAGTTGTGAGGTTTTCTAATCTGAATTGTAGAATGATGGAGAGGGATGGTGTTTTGTTTGAATTCCAAAAGGGCTGTTTGTTTTACAAGAGGGTTGTTCACTGTGAAGTTGCCATTGTAGTCATATAGTGAGAAGAGTGAATTGCAGATGGTGAGGGTAAGCACGGTAACAGTGTCTGGAAGGTTGATGGAACTGCCGTTGGCTTGCAACAGGTAAAGTAGGTACTTTTGGCCAACTAAGTACAACGGTTGGTTTTGCATTTTAAATTCTTACAAGCGCCGATCGCTCTCTACCAGCTTGTTATTGCTATGATTGTGCCACTACCAGTAGCTCGGCAGATGGGATAGTCGCTTCTCATTCAAGTTTGTGCTCGAAAAGGAGCATCGCACTCAGCGGCAGGGGGGGGTTCAATGTGCCGTGTGTGCTTTTTCTTTTCTTCGTTGTGTACTTTGCAGGTGCATCATTGCGAGTGGATGGGTAGCTCGAAAATTACTTAGGCATGCCTTTTTTTGAAAGTTTTGAACAAGTTTAGGATCGACTCACAGTCCTGGCTTTTGTGTTTCGGAGGCTTCTGCAAGGATACCGTGATGATGAAACTCGTATCCCTGGTCAACCAGCATTGACTCGGCGGCAAAGGGCTATATGAGCAAAACGACAGAGCAGTGATGAGCTGGTCGGGACCCTAGCAGCTAGTTGGGAGTGCCTGAGCTTTTCTGAACTTCGCCTGGTCAGGCCCGACCTTCTCCCTGTTACTTCGGCCTGGGCCATTTTACAACCCGACACTTCAGGTCCTCCTGACCATCAGTCCGTCCATGAGCCTGTTGGCCTCCGATTGATTTTTGGGCAATTCCTACCTGACATCGTATAGCATCAAACGGCACATCTAATTAGACTAATAGTGTGCACAGTGCACATCCATAATGGTGGATGATTTCAATTGATTTGCATCCGACTTGCATTTGGCAGGCAGCTTGGTTTTCTCCTCTGGCAGTTCAGTAGTTTACTTTTTTGTGCCCTGGGGCATGGGACATTATGTTGTGTTCAGCTTAGGGAAAGTACTGCACAGCGGTATTCTGCAGGTTTCAATGTGTGATAATAAACAATTGTTGTTGCTCCAACCATGAAGAAGATGATATTCTGACATGTTTTAGTTTTGATTCTCGAGTGTCTTTTTGAAGGGCGCAAGCAGCACGTTTTAATGCTTAGTTGAAGCTGATTCCTAGACTTTGCATATATTCACATGACTGTCTTTGACAAAGCGACTGCCTGGGACATCCCTCTTATTTGTCATCCAAGTGCAACCTCCAACGTCCCTTCCCATCAATCGGCTGGTGTGTTCACTTGCAATTGACCAGGTTCTTTGAACTTCGAAATCTGAACAAATCTGTGACAATTGGTGGGGCGTTCAAACTGCGTTGTGGGCATCTCCAGTCGACCCTTGCTAAGGGCTGAACCTGCTACATCCGCTATCCTATGCATGTGATGGGTCTCTCTTTAGTGGTTCCGACACATGTCGTGATGGTCCCTGCATCATCCACTTTTTTCCTTGCCCCCACAGAGCTCATGTCTTGCCACTGCTTGGTCATCTGTTAGTGGTAGATCTGTGGTTTCCACTGCAACAGTTTGCACTGCTGCAATATGCAGTTTCCTCTGCTGCAGCTCCCAATGCTCCAGCTTCATTTGCTGCAGTTCCAGCGCAGAACACGACCGCCTCCCCAATACTCGCATCGTTTATTGTGAACCCCTGCCCAATCAATCCCACTCTCCTCTCTTTCTGTGCTTGGTCGCAGACGGCTGAGTTCTTCCTTGTACATATTCTCTGGGCGTTGGTCACGACCATCCCCTCCACAGTCTTGTTTGCGAACCGGCTTTCCTGTTCCAATTGTCCCATATTCATCGTCGGAGACATGCGCATCTCCAGTTTGCCATGATACAACTCTCATTCTCATTGTGTATCATAGATGGCATGCACGGCAGTGTTGCTCAACTGGAGAGCAGCACATGTTTCTATGTCTGGCCTAATTCTCTCCGTAGCTGCTCCACATTTATTGCTGTTCCGAACAGTAATATATGCTCCTGATAATGCTCAAATAGGTTTCCCATGTCATCAGCCACTTCATCCCTACTGCTCATGACCTCTCTGCCTTCAAGAACAGACTGCCTCCTGAATCTTCTCTCATCTACCCACCCTTTATCTTCCTTACATCATTCTTCACTCTGTCCTCTTTATCCTTTAGCTCTTTTTCATAGCTTGCAAGTGGGCCGTTATGATACATGAGGATGTGGGCAGCTCACTCTCAACTACATCAATGGGGTGATCCTTGTTCTTGAAAGCCGCAGTAAAGGGCAAGCTGAAAGAAGTAAAAGGGAAAGTTGGGAAACCATGGAAAAAGTAAAAGGGAAAACGAAGAAGGAACTGCACGGAAAAGCCATTAGAACAGTTTCGGTGTGCTTCACGCTGGCTACTATTCTTTTCGTTTGTTTCACGAAGTTCGCTCTTTTAGGGGGCATGTGACAATATATGGTGGATTCAACTGAATTGATAATTGATTTTCTCTGACTTGTTATCTGCCTGCAGTTGCGTTTCTTCGCTGCAATCAAAGGGTGCCGACTCTCAAGCCGTGGGCCAAGAACTGTTGAGGGTGGTAGATTATCCCCTAATCCTGCAAGTGGATTGAAAGCTGCTGATGGCGTAGCAGCAACTATAATTCGGGAGATGGGCTTGGACGATGATGCAGGCAAACCTGCAGCAAGTCTGTCACTTGCTGGAAAGAGAAAGCTGAGCCTTGCCATTGCGATGATTGGAGACCCTCAGGTACTTGTCTTGTTTCTGAAAACTGCCCTTGATTTTCCCGCTGAGAATTGTGCATTCTTTGTTCATTTCTACTTTTCGAAACCATCTTGTGCCACTTGCTGGAAACGGAAAGCTGAGCCTTGCCATGCTATGATTGGAGACCCTCAGGTACTTTTCTTTCTGAAAAGGCTGCCTTAGTTTCCTGCTGAAAATTGTGCATTCCATGTTGGAACCTGCGTAGCATCGTGTTCGTGTTTGGAAGCGAACACGAACATGTTCGCCCGACCGAGAACGTGCACCAATACCCTCCGAATGCGAACATAAAAAATATTATTAAATATATAATATAATATATATCAGAAAAATCTGAAAAAAGATGTCATGTAAAACAACAATACAAGCAACTTTTGCCTTGGAGTCGTGTTCAAATTCTTAGCCAAACGTGAGTTGAAAACAGAAAAGTTGAAAAAAACGATTTATTTTTATTTTTTATGGGAATGAAAATTAGGCTTGACCAAACACGTTTGCAAGCCGTTCGTGTGAACGCGGAGGGGCGCGGACATGTTCGCGCAGGTTGGAACCCTTATTGTCCCTGTAAAGGCTGTAATAGACATGTGATTTTGTGCTGAAAAGTGTGTTCTCATGTACTTCCACTTTCCCTCCATTTTGCAATGTTTCCACTTTCCCTCCATTTTGCAATGTTTTTTCTCCTGCAAAGAATGAGCGGGCAATTTCATTTTTAGGAGAGCCTGCTTCCCTTTCTGCAGACTTTGTGACACTTCTTTTGATCATTTTCCAAAGGTGGGTGGCATCAACTATCATGCAATTTGTATCGGATTTAAATTGTAGTCTTAGTATATCATTAGCTATGGACGCTTTCACCCTTTTCCCTTAGTGGGGAGCGTCAACCATCATGAAATTGGATAGATCTGATTTATAGCCTTATTGTCATCATGTATGTAATGCCAAGCAGTCGAGCCTCGTTGCATCAAAGCAGTTGTAAGGGGCTTGCAAATTTCGAAGTGCGTATTTTGCCAGCGGGCCTGGAGTCAAGGGTCAAGTTGAGGTGCTCAGGGCCTCTAGATGTAAAAGTAGGCCCTAGGAGAATCAACAGTCAGGCCTAGGTGGATATAGAAGCGAAGAGTCAAAGATTTCTCAGGAGTCGACCACAGCCACAGATCACACACAATGTTCAACAACACTTTCCTGAGGCTTCAAGCTCTCACTGGCCGTACAGATTGAGAAACATCCGTCATCAAGGATTCGACACTGGAGAATCTGGGCTTGCCCAAGCTCGTTCAGTCATTCTACCTTGCTCTTGTTGGGGTGCTGCTGAAATCCAGTGCGCGAGCGCTTTGGAGAGAAGGTGGCAGACAGTGTGAGAGGCTGCCTAGCTAGACTCAGAGAGATAGAGAGTGGTAGCCATAGCCAATAGGAAATGCGGATGCCATAGATGAGAGTGAGAGAACAGGAGAGATGAGGTAGTCCAAGGCTTGGGAGGAGGAAGCTTACTTGGAGAGTCTTCAGCCAGAGCTGCTGCAGAGAGGAGTCCAGTGGTTGCATGAGGTTGTCATTCTTCGTCCAAGACCTGGAGGTGATGGTGGTGACTGGTACAGAGGAGGGTCTGTGGTGGAGATTCTAAAGCTGTAACCATTGACGAGGGGTTGGCAAAAACGAATAGGAAGCTGACGTCCTCTTAGCTGGTGGGCATAGCTACCTGAAGAATAATACTTTGAAAGGAGGAGAGAGATCCACATTCATCTTTCAAGACTTCATTTGGTTGGCGCTTTGCACTTTAGAGGGAGAGTGTGACACTGGTGTTGGTGAGGCCACGGGAAGAGGGGGAAGGTCGCCATAGCCTCATTTGGCAATGTGGTCATGATTGAAGGAGGCTCCATGCTGCATCAGAGGACAGGCATCGTCATTTCGAGTTCCAGCATTATGGCACTAACCTTGCATAGACGAGCGCTAGGGAGAGGGGCTTGAAGAGTGGCGTTGTATGGTTTGGTAGTGGAACTATTAGGAGAAGCAAGCCAGTAGATAGGGGGATGCATTGATGCGGAGAGAGAGGAGTCCCACGGAAGAGAAGGGAGAAGGAAGTTGAACAATGCATTTGTCGTGTATGTTTTTAGAGAAATTTAGGCCCTTGTGAGTTCATCTGTGATTTGTCTTTTATTGTGTTTATTACAACATACAATTTGATACAAATCTATTATTTAATATGGTAAGTCCTAGGTATTCACCACATTGTTGCAGTGGTGTGGTTACTTGTTAATTATAGAAATGAATAACAATATTTGAATATAGAAATAAATTATATAATATTGAAATATTATTGAAATAAATGAAATATTTCACTAAAATAAATTGAATCTTATTATTAATGAAATATGAATGAAATAAAGCTACAGTACAATACATAGATTAAAATATATAATCATAATCAAATGACAAATAAACACTAACCATAAGAAATTTGTCAATTTGTTGTTGTTATTGTGGTTGACGATGAACATCTTACTTATTTGATTAAAATTCATTATATTAAAATACACTGTTGATTTTTGTTATGTTCATTTCATTGAAATCATACTCGCAAGCGCACGTCGTGCGGTAGGTTCCCTACGTGCGGTGCACGTGCCCAACCGATCTCGTGCGGCGCACGACGTGTGCGGAGAACGACCCGTCACCCCCCGCAGAAAAAAAAAAAGGCCGGGGTCAAAACGGTGCGTTTGAGGCTCCCCGCCAAAATTATAAGCGAGATGAAAAAAAAAATTACAGGAGTACTGCCTCACCTTGCTCTTCCTTCCCTTCCTCATCCTCCATGTCTCCTCCTCCCTTCTCCTTTTGGTCTCCTCCTCCTCCTCCTCCTCCTGTTCGTCCTCCTCCTGCCCTTCCTCATCCTCCTTGTCTCCTCCTCCTCCTCGTACTTCCTCATCTTCCATGCCTCCTCGTCTCCTTCCCTGCCTCGTGTCCTCCCCTTCCTCGTGTCCTCCCCTTCCTCGTCGTCCATGTCTCCTACTCCCACTCGTCCTCCTCCTCCTGCCCTTCCTCTTTTCCCTCCGTCCATCTCTTCTCCTCCCCCATCTGGACGACTCCTCGTCGTCCTCGCTTTCCTCGTCGTCCTCCTCGTCCACCTCCTCCTCCTCTCCATATCCCCCTCTCCTCGCCATATCCCCATCTTCCTGCCATCCGCCCCCCCGTTCCCCTCCCAAAAAAAGATAAAATAATAATAATAAAAATAAAAAACCTGCACGATTCCCCACAGGCACCCCCCACACGGAACTCCGCACAAATGTGTGGCTTGTGCGGTTGCAAATATGATTGAAATCCATTCCCATTTTATTAAATTATTCAATCAAACTTAATATATATTTCTGTATTCTAAGTTTATTATTCTAAGAATCAAATCAGATAAAAAGCAAGTAAAAGATTACTTTACAATGTCACTTACATTCTGTAGAATCTATAGTATATAAATATTGGATAACTCATGGTAACCGCGGACCCGGACACCGGACACTTCCGGACTGTCTTCCGGACCAGTGTCTGGACCGGTCCGGACTGTCCAGTGATCCGGACATCAC